TCTACCCCCCCTTCTTCTAGCCTCTGCCTTACCGGCTTCCCTTCTCTGTCGTATTTCTTTTCCCCTTTGTTTACAATCATCATATTGGTTTTGCACTTTATTTTTCCCTTTCTTAAATGTTTTTTTGGATCTTAAGTCCTTAAATCCTTTAGTTTTCTTCTTTTCTCTTCTCTTCTTTTCTTTCTCTCTTCCTTTTTTCTGGATCAAATTCTGAGATTCATTAAAGATGGCTCCTTCCTTTCTTTCTTGTTCCTCTGCTGTCTTCATCTGTTGTAATTTTTGTTGATAATTAGTAAGCGCCATTTCTAAGAAAAGGAAAGCTTCTTCCACACCATCTTTACCATTTTTTTTTGCTTGTTCATATTCTTTTCTTAGTTCCTCAACAGAAAGAGCCATTATAAATCTTTTCTTTTCTTTTCTCCTTCTTTCTTCTTACAACAACCAGAATATTCAAAAGAAAATAAAAAAGATAAAACAGTCCCAAAGTTATCAATCAGTCCAAACCAAGGCAGAGTTCTCACTTTCTCCTTCTGGGGTAATATCAATCAAAGAGAAAGAAAGTCCAAATCTGTTTAAAATCTTATTACAATATATTCTAGTCTTCAAATCCTTAAGGCATCTGCTCCAACAAATCTTAGCATACAAATATTTTCTTCTTAATCCTCTCTCTTCCCACTCATCGCTTAAAACCAATTTCCACCTAAAAAAATAGGTTTCTTAATATCCAGTTATTTATTCCGTAGGAAAAGAGGGAAAGCTATCCTTTCAGCACCTTCAAGCAGCCGCTTTTTTCCTCTTCTGGCAGGTATTATTCAGAGAATCATACTTTTCAGGAATTTTATTAAATATGTCTTAGAGTCCTAGGAGCCAAGAAAAACTTTCTCCTCTCAATCACTTTCTCCACTTCCTCCTGCGCATTCTTACCCGGCTGCCAGCTTCTTTGTGGCGGCCATTACGGACCGCCGCTGCACCGTCCTGGGAAAAGGGAGTTCTGCCGGCCAGGGAGGGAGTCTGCAGCACCCCCAAACCCTTCTCCGGATCCCCCCTACTTCAGCTGCCCCTGCAGGGCAGCCTAGCTCCGTACCCGGCTGGGTCGGAGCCCCAAAAACGGCTAGCGCGGCAGGGATCGCGCAGCTTCGCAAATCCCTGCCGCTCGCGAAGCCGACAAACCGGAAGTCCCAGCAGCTGACTCATATTTATGACGGTTGCAGTGTCCCGGGGTCGTGTGATCACCTTTTGTGACCTTCTGAGAAGCAAATCAATGAGGAAGCCAAATCCACTTAACAACCATGTCACCAACTCACCAACTCAAAAACCTAGAACTACGCCACCTTCGGTCTGATCTAAGTATAGTATATAAAATTATATATTGCAATGCCCTACCTGTCAATGAATACTTCAGCTTCAACCATAATAATACAAGAGCACACAATAGATACAAACTCGAGGTTAACCACACCAAACTTGATTGCAGGAAATACGACTTCAGCAATAGAGTAGTCAATGTCTGGAATACTCTATCTGACTCTGCAGTTTCTTCCCCAAACCCCAAAAGCTTTAACCTTAGACTGTCTACTATTGACCTCACCCCTTTCCTAAGAGGTCTGTAGGGGGCGTGCATAAGCGCACCAATCGTGCCTACCGTCCCTGTCTTATTGTTTCTTTTTATTTTTCTTATATGTATCCATTTCATGTACTCATAACTATGTTTATACTTATACCTGTAATCTTATAATCGCTTGACAAAATAAATAAATAAATAATAAAATAAATAAAACTGTGGTAATTCATGTAACAACTGTGTCAAGAAAGGTCATACAATGGGGCAAAACTCATTTAACAAATGAGAAATGTAGGGTTGAATTGTGGTTGCAAATCAAGGTCTACCTGTAGTAGAACTGGCCCAAGGTAGGCCAAAACCTCTAGGTGCATCAGAGGAGAAATCTCAGCAAGAATAGGAAGCGCTGCCCCCAAACCTAAAATACCGCTAACAAACATGAGCCAAGAATAGCCTTCCCCAACCTGATTGGCTTCCCCATGTACAGATTTCCATGTCTAGAATTCTTTCCAGCTGGGGAATTCTGGGAGTTTCGAAGTTCACTCATCTGGAGGGTAACCAGGTTGGGAAGTCTTGATCAAGAGCTGGATGTGAGCAAAATAAACCAAATCAGCCGTGCTTTGGTAGTCTGGGAAGGCAATGTCTCAGCCAAAGTTAACATAAGGATTACAGGTAGTCCTTGACTTACAATCATTCATTTAGCGACTGTTCAAAGTTACAAGGTCACTGAAAAAAACTGGCATAACTGGTCTTCACCCTTATAAGAGATAGATGGGCAATGGGCGATTCTGGGTGTCCTGGACACTGCTGGTCAAGAAGAATTCAGTGCAATGAGAGAGCAGGACATGAGGACGGGAGATGGCTTTCTTATAGTCTATTCAGTCATAGATAAAGCCAGCTTTGAACATGTGGATAGGTTCCATCAACTCATTCTCCGAGTTAAGGATAGAGAATCTTTTCCAATTATTTTAGTGGCCAACAAAGTTGACCTAATGCATTTGATAAAAATCACCCAGGACCAAGGGAAAGAAATGTGCTGTCCAGACAGTATATAGGTAATGGGAATTGAGATACTTGAGTCAGAATTGGGAGCTGTCCCCTTAAGGGAATGCCTCATGGTAAATGTAGTTAATGCGTCCTGGGAAATGTAGTTCATGTTGTGGTCACATCTGTAATCCTGATTGGTCACTGAGTTGACCCTTGGTTGGGTTGGGGGAGTTTCCTTTACTCCTGCTTGGATCCCAGCAGCGTGCTGGTGTCTCACCCCTTGCTCCATCGTTATGGGATGAAAGATCACTATGCTTTTACACTATGAAGTCAGCTATGCAAAGATTTGGACATTAAGATCTCAACATAACTGTGAGTTATATCTTGAGAATGCCTTGTGACCCAATAAATAAACTTTGTATGGAAGCCTTTGTAGAGTTTGGCCTGTCTGTCTTTATATTCAGCCAGTAATTAAAGACAGAACAGTAGCCAAGCACAATATTCCATATATAGAAACTAGTGCTAAGGATCCTCCATTGAATGTTGACAAAGCCTTCCATGATCTTGTTCGAATAATCGGGCAGCAGGTTCCAGAAAAGAACCAGAAGAAGAAAAAGACCAAGTGGCGAGGAGACAGAACAACTGGTTCCCAAACTGCATTGTGTGATTTTGTGACTGTCTCTTTCTGTGTTTCTCATTTTCCCCCCATTATAACTGTCACAGCATCCCTACAGTCACGTGATCAATATTTGGTTGCTTGGCAACTGACATGTATTGACAATGGTTGCAGCATCCTGGCCACCTGCAACCTTCCCAGCTGGCTTCTGACATTTCTGTGGGTGAATCTAGATCCATTTAATGACCTTGGGATTCGCTTAGCAGCCTCAGTGATTCACTTAACAACGGTGGCACAAAATGGTAACAAAATCGGGCCTGACTCACTTAACACGTCCCTTGCTTAGCAATGGAGATTCTGGTCCCAACTGTGGCTTATAAGTCAAAGGCTACCTATATTGAGGAGAGGAATCATAGGAAGAGAGGGGGGATTTTGGAAAGGGGTTCAAGGCATAAGGGGTGAAAAAAGAATAATGGAACCCACATTTCAAGAACAGGAGATGGCAAAGAAGGGAGCAGATTCGGAAGAGCAAGACATTGTTGCTTATAACAGAAACCAGAAAGGGCAGAAAATAGAACAACAAACACCAGAATGTTTTAAGGAGCTCTTGTTCCAAAGAGAAAATTCCATACTGCTGAATTGCATATCCTTCAAACTGTACTATTGAATTCAGAACATACTATAGGCGGAACAAACAATACAGCAACTGCCAAATGGCTGGGGAGAAACACAAGAATTTGACAAGGGAGGGGAAAAGACCTACCTTAGGTGTGGCTTGTCGGTGGTGCCATCAATGTTCCTAGAACGATATCAGATTGCGCTGCAGGGTGTAGCCACAATTCTCATCACTTCTGTTTCTTTGACTGATCAGGGGCAGTTTTACCTGATGGGGAAGTCTGTAGCTGCAACATTTTTTCAGAGGTGTAATTTCACACACACACAGAGAAAGAAAGAAAGAAAGAAAGAAAGAGAGAGAGAGAGAGAGAGAGAGAGAGAGAGAGAGAGAGAGAGAGAGAGAGAGAGAGAGAATCTTAACCTTGAGCTTTGGGGTCTTTCCCTGCCTGATGTACTCCAAAACAGCAACACATCACATCACAACATCACAACACATCACAGTGATTAGGGAAGACAATTCTGTATCATATTATCATTCATGGCTTCCAAGTGAAAAAAGGAAGTTTCATTCTTCTAATATTCTTTTTTCTCTGGTCATTTCTGTTTTCTCTAAAGCCCAATAGCTAAGAGGGATGGTTAGATAACTGTTAAAAGAAGAATCCTTTCAAAAATAGTTCTTACAACAAATGAAGATGTTGGCGAGTCCAGAAATGTTGGGAATTGCCATCCCAGCACGTCTGAAGGGTACCAAGTAGGGACAGGAGCTTTCGACACATTCTGAATGCTTCAGAATGTATCTCAGGAGCTGCAGCATTTGGGTTTGCCATCGAGTTGGTGTTAAAGGGCTTCTTGGCAGAGCAATGGAGATGGATAGAGCAGACTGGAGCAGACCTGCAAAACTCCGGGATGCAGGGAGAAGATCAGCTGGCCCTCGCAGGGGTCAGAAATCAAAACAAAATGAACCCGAGGCTCTGCACACCCCACCCTGCCCACAGCTGTAACTTATCACACGGCGTGATATTTTCTAACAGCAAAACAGACTTGTCTGCTACCCCAGCGGCAGTTCCTTCCTGCCACGTTTTGGCACAAGTCCCTGGAGTGGAAGAACTGGATAGTTACGCAAGGCTGTTTACCTGTTGCCGGACAGAGGCTCCTCCCCAACCTGCCTCTGGTCTCCTCCCTGCCTATATAGAGGCTTGAGGTGTTGAGCTGGCACCAGAACACAGAAGCCGAAGGATGACACAGTCGTGCAGCATGGAAAGCAAAGGGCTGGTGGCTGAGCTGCAGAGAGCAGCTATCTGCCCGGCCTGCAGGGGTCACTTTAAGGACCCAGTGATCCTCGACTGTGACCACAGCTACTGCCGGGCTTGTATCACTCGCTACTGGGATGCGGAGGCCACAAAGGAGAATGGCCCTCGGGTTGTATCTTGCCCCCAGTGCAAGAAAGTCTTTGAGAGGAGGAACCTCCGCACCAACGTCAAGCTGGCAGTAGAAGTCAAGATCACCCAACACCTCAACGCCAAGACAGCCCAGGCACCCCTTGCCCCAAAGTCCAAGCGCCGCCGTGGAGGGTGGAGGCCCACAACCAGCATCCCAAAAGAAAAGGTAGGTCATGAGTGAAGGGCTCAGTTGTCTAGGAGGATATCAGCAAGAGGGCCTCTGATCTCACGCAGTGTGTACTCCATACAGCACTCCTTCTCATGGGATGTGGGTTTTGGTGTTTGGAAGCTGAATATACACTGTGTAGTATTCAGGTAAGTGTGTACACCAGAACAATTTTATCTGAAAATGATACTGAGAAATAGACTTTTTCAGAGGTATTTGTTAGAATTTGCTTTCTTTCTCATCATTTTGCTTACAGTGGCCTCTTGTTATAGTCATACATGATTTCTACTTCTAGCCTTTTCGCCTTCACGTGGTATGAAACCAGCCACATAAATTTATATCCCTTTAAACAATGGGCAATTAGACAGTAATTTAGTTTATGAAGCTTCTTCTCAGCACCAAGACTCAAAGCAGGAAGGAAAACAGGGCCAAAAAGAAAAACAAAATATCTGCCTGTTGTCCCAATACTTGGAGAAATCTTCCCAGCCAGGTGTTCTCCAGGTAAATGTGATTTCATATGCTTGGAAAGGATGGAAACTGCAAATCCTGTGAAGGCTAGAGATGGGCAGAATTGTATTCATCACATCTGAAAGCACCATATTGGTTAAAAAAAACCCAACCTGCTGAAAAATACAGGTGGGAGCGGGAGGAAAACCTCCAAAAGACATGGATGTGTTCTGCCTGTTGGATGATATGTGAATGAGATCATAAAATTAGATTATTGCTAGCATCATGAAGATGTCTGTTATTTCCAGTCATGGGTGGTGCATTTGTGCTTATGGATATACTAATGAAAACATACCTCAAGACAATTATGCATCACCTGATGCTCTCCAGATGTGTGGGACCACCATCCCATCATCCACTAGTCAGTGTTGCCCTTTATAATCCACACATCTGGAAGGTATTAAGGGAAAGCTGAGGTGGTATTTTGAGGATGACTTGCTTGAATATAACAAGGCAAAACAATAGTGGGCTTACTCTATCAAATCAATCAATCGATTGATCAATCAATCAGAACAGAGTTGGAAGGGACCTTAGAGGTCTTCTAGTCCAACCCCCTGCTCAGGCAGAAAACCTTATACAATTTCAGGCAAGTGGCTGTCCAGTCTCTTCTTAAAACCCTCCAGTAATGGAGCATCCACAACTTCTGAAGGCAAATCTTTCATTTGATTGATTGGTTGTTTTATTGATTTTATTTAAAATTGTATTCGTTTGACTGATCTCATTTTTCCACCAAACTTCATAGTGCTAATGATCAACCTGCTTACAAAATAAAATAAAGTTGAAATAAACTTTTTTCAAAGAGAACAAAAAAATTCACAAAGTAATTTACCATTTGTGGGCCTCACTCGCAGCTGGATTTGATAACACGGGAAAGACATGCTGTTGGGAACAGGGGTTGGTTGGCCTTTCTCTTCTGCATTGCATTTATGCTTAGAATACTCTTCAAGCTGCCCACGAGACTGCACAGGCCAGGTGAAGTTTTCTTTCTCCAAAGGTGAGGAAAACCGTAGCTTAATGCTGGAGCTGGTGTTTTACATGCAGAAGATGTTGGGGTCGTTCCCTAGGCCCCGTCCCTTTATATGCAGAAGATTCCAAGAGGCCTAAGATCATGAAAAGCAAAAGCCAGATTTAGAAGGAATGGAGAAAAAATATTTGGTATCTTGGGGTTAGGATGAACTAATGGCAAAGACTATAGGTGCTATCCTGGGCTCCTTGGAAGAAAAGCAGAATAGAAATGAATAAAGCAAGTCTCTTTTTTAAAAAAAAAAATATAATCTTTTAGAGGAGGGACAGGCAACCCAATGTTCTCCAGAGATAATCAACTACTTCATTATAGTTGGAATACCTCAAATTTCCTGTCCTTGTTAAAGGAAGCATGTTCCTCTGTTCTCTGTTGAGCCCCCGGCATGTTTCATTTTTAAAATGGTTCGTGTTGATTCTTCAGTACTGTTATGTTACAGTCATATGACAATCATGATGTGATGTGAGATTGTGATCTGGCCAGTAATTGTTCTACCAAAGCTGCAACATTTTTCACAAAACAACGTTACCCTGCTAGTGTTGAAGGCCATAGGGACACGGTCAAGGCAAGTGGTTAGCAATGCTAGGACTACCTTTCACAGATCATGTAAAATGAAAATACCCCAACAAGTTGCAAAAGAAACGAGTAGAATCAGCATTTATGGAGCAGTAGCACTAAATATTTTTCAAGACAGATCTTGATCTAGAACTGCAGGTGTCTCAGAAATGAGGCATGGCTTATATTTTATTCATACGATTGCAATCTGAGAGGCCTCAATGGAAAACACTTTTACAATTGTGAAAATAAGAATGAACAGAGATCAACAAGAATCTTTGTGGTTAGTGAAGATGGAAGAAACAGATTAATAGACAAAAGAAGGTAAATAGAAGAGGAACGATTGCCAGAACAAAATGGAGAACATATATATAAACAATGCAAAATGGACCTCTATGTATAAATCCTTCCAGAGTCATGTTCAAGTGTTCTTTCTTCTGTTGATAATATAATATATTATATACACAACATAATGCATGAAGTCAAGGCTGCAGAATTAAAAGAATGATTTGCTTTCTTGCACAAGGTGCCGCAGCAAAAAATTATAGATGTGCAAAGTCTGCTATTAATTCATGTTCCCTGATGTAAATAGTCCATTTGCATTGGTGATGAGCTTAGTTTGCTTGCCAACTCAGGTTTCATTTACAACATCCCTTCATCTTGATTTCTACTTTGGATTTACTTTTTCCTGAAAGGGAAGGCCTAGCAACCTTCGACTTGCATCGACTGGTTAAAAAAGAAGAGGCAATCTGACAAGATAATGACATTCTTGATCACAAGCTTAATAAAATCAGAACATGGCAAAGAAGACCACTGGAAAGAGAAAGCCTGCTGACCGTCACCCTGAATTATAGTGAAAGAACCTTCTGCTGTGAGAATTGCCTTCATCTGATTCATCTTCCCCTGGTTAAACCAGCTATATCTTATCTGCTCTATCCACACCTCCTTCCTCCCCTCTTGCTTCACCTTCTCCTACATGGCCAAGGTGGAGGCTGGAGAAAAAGCTACCGTGCAGTTCTAAGAAGACTATCAGGGAAACCTGAAGAGGCAAGTGAGGGTAGGAGTTTCAAGCTAGGGATGGTGACCTAGCTAGCTGAAACTGGACTGTTTTCCAAGGAGAGCAACTGGATGTTGTCATTGTTTTCTCACTCCTTAGTCATCCTGGCTGTAGGATTGCCTTTCTGAAGGAACTTCATGGACACAACAGCCAAGCCACCTGCCTGGCCCCAGTTTAGCCTATATTTTGGTCATTATTTTATTGATGTATATAATGATTATTTATTGGTATTTTGTATTTTTGTGATCCACTTTGAAAGGAGCTTCAATGCTGTGGGACAAACAGCTCCAAAGCCAGTTTGTTTATTGAATCTTGAAGTCAGTTGTCCCAAGAGCCAATAAGAGCTTGCATTTTCTAGAGGAATAATATTGCCCATTGTACTTTTGCTGAGAACAAAGTATTAACTTGGCCTTGCTTTTGAATATTCATCTTTAAAACTTGAGAACGCAACACCTTCACATTATTAACAGCTATAACGTGTTTCAGGGTGCCATAAAAATCCTTTTTTATTGGAGGTTGCTTAGCTAGCTATTTTGTTGAATAAGAGGATTGCCTCATGCCTGAAAGGAGATTTGAAACCTAGCCTTCAAGTGTTGTCCTCTACATTACACTTAATTCTCCATTTCTTCATTAAATTCTTTGTTCTTTCAATCCTCAAATTGGAATAATGAACAGGTTAATTGAGACACACAATTTGGAGATATTTAGGGACAAGAAGTCTTTCCAAAGTTATAGAGAATAAATATTATGAATCTAGATTTCTATTAGATTCTGCTTTAAGAAAGTGTGAAACTGACAACACTGCTGTTTTTCTAATCTTGGAATTGGCAACCACAAACCATATGCATCTCTTGCAGTCTTTTGTGTAGCTTCTGGGTCCACCTCCCACTCCATGGTATCTTTACTAATGTTTTCATTTTGTCTGTTTTAAGATAGTAAAACAGGTAATAAAATAGATGAAGACTCCAAGAAGTATGACACACCATTTTTTTTTTAAAAAAAGAATAGCCTTATTTAAAATAATATCCCCAAATGACAAATTCTCTCCTTGTACGGCTTCCATCTTGCTATTGTTTAAGAAGTCCTTGAAAACCTGGCTGTTTCCCAGGCTTTAGGTTGAGATGGATGTTGAGCCTTTTATAGGATGTTATCTGTTAGGACTGTGTGTCTGGTTGTACATTGGGTGATTTTTTCCTTGTTTTCCTTGTTGTTGTTTTGTTACTATTTTCAGTGCTGTACACCAGGGGTCCCCAACCGCCGGTCCGCGGACCGGTACCGGGCCGCGGAACAAGCCTTACCGGGCCGCTGGTTGCTGGGCGCCGCCATCTTTTTTTGGTAAAAAAGCGCTTCCAGTGAGCTTTTCCGGGTAGAAAGCTCACCGGAAGTGCTTTTTCGTCATAAAAAGATGGCGGCGCCCAGTTGACGCCAGTACCGGGCCGCGGCGCCCAGCTGATGCCGGAACCGGGCCGCGGCGTCGAAAAGGTTGGGGATCCCTGCTGTACACCACCGTGTTTTGGAGTTGTATGGCCTTCTAAATTAATTAATTCATGATAAGGGTCTTAAAATACCACTTTTGCAGCGAGGTTCTACCATGTGTTTTGCAGCTCTCTGTGGCTTATTAAACTCTGCCCATTACCTGAGCTTGATTCGAAGGAAACTTTTTCTTTTTCCTTCCTAGATGAGGGGTGGACACAAGTTGCCTTCCAGATATTGAACTCCAAATGTCTCCATTCTGTCAGAAATGGAAATTGCCCATTGGCAAATCCCTGACCTTAGATCCTGCTTTATAAAGAGGTTCCACAACTTCCTATTGCAATTATTTTACTACTAAGTACGAACACCCCAACTAGTAATGCTCAT